TCTTTCAATTAACTAATAGATGCGGAACAAAAAAAGTGATATGGTAGACTTCATATATTTGATATTTTATCAAATATGAAAAAGTCTATTAAATTTTGAATCCTGCTTGTGGAATACTCTGCAGACTCTTCAAGAGTATAGAACGCATTATCGATTTGAAATATCACCATGATCCTTACTTCGATTAGAATTTATAATTAAGATAACATTTATCTTTGACTTTTTGCCTGTTCTAATATAAGTACCTCAATCCAATTTAAGAAAATCCATATCTTTAGTATAACTGCAAAGTTCTTTACGTTATCTTTGGCTAACTAATAGATGTCGATAAAACTTTTTAAAACTTTTTGTGTATTTGCACTGAAATAAGAGAACTGTTTATATGGGACTAGAAAAATACATGTACAGCAATGTTATAGGATAAAAAGCATGGTTTCATTGAAGGTGCGAATCTCAATTTAAATAGTCGACTTATAGTTGCCTGTGGTTGAGAAAATATAGCACAAGATTAGATGTAATGCGTATTTTTTAAAGAAAACTTTGAAATAGTATATTTCATTTGTATTTATCGTCTTTTATCGTTTTTGTTGACCAGTAACACAAGCATTTCATGAGAGTACAATCCCGTAGAAAGATGGAATACGAATAACTTATTTTGCATGATCTATTAAATCGAGTTCACGAAAAATAAAGCAGAAAATTATAAGTTGATTTTTTCGTGTTTCAGCGAACATAGAACTCTCAACAAGTAAATATTGATCGAAATTGACGATAAAAAAGAATTATTTGCTTTAAACAGTTCGTATGCTAGTACTTAAACATCTACGCCACAATTCGTTCGTTTTATGTACACCTTACATTCAAATATGTGAGATCAAATTGTGAAACGTTGATCTTGACTGACATCTCAAATGTCTATTCTAGAAATTTCATATGTTCAGTAATGATATGAAGGCGATCAGAATTGATCTATAATTCTATAAAGTATCAACATAAAAATTAACAATTCGCTTATTACACTAATTCTATTTACATGTAAAACGTTGTTTTAAAAAATTTCTGTGAAATCTAAATACGTAAATCGGTGTCGTTGTTCGGGCGCATTATAGTGGGTTTGCTTTTAATTATTTGCTGTATTCCCTCACGTCGTCTTTTTGCTTACTACTTCAAAGATTAAATAAGAAAAATAGAAAAGTGTTTATAGCCGTCAGTGAAAGAGCGAATCAGTGTAAGTGAAGTACAAAGTATCATGCAAAAATCTTATACTTTATTTTTGTTAAAATTATAAAATCATTCATCGATATAATTTTCGCCCACCAAACACATAATGATACTCTTGGTTACTTTCGAGGTTTCGAAAGAAAAACCTCGTAGCGTAAAAAGCATCGAAGTAAAAACCTAACATTCAAAGAAATTGTCATTACGATTCAACGATCAAAATAAATCAATCGTCATGTAGACATAGCACGCAGCGCTCTGCATGCAATATGGTAGCTAGTTCCTTTCAAACATGAATATGTAGAAGGAGAAAGTACACAAAAGATTTTTTATTCTGGATTCTTTTCATCATAACTTACACTTTATTGAATATCTTTGTTGTTATAACTGTACTATGTATTCTACATTATTTCTTGCCATCGTTTTTTGCTTATTCTTTGCGACTAGTTTATCAATTCGATGCTTTGAAATAGTCGATTCCAAATGTTTATTAAAACCTGATGTTAATGATTGTGGTGACAATGGTCCATGTGTTTGTTTTGCATATAGTGCTAAATGTGAAGAAGGTGATTTAGAATGCACAGATGACGATATTGAAACAGGCATTGTAAAATGGCGATATGGAATCATTGGAAAAGACCTATGCACACTGCTCAAAGATCCATATTATGAAGCTATTGATGCAGAATGTTGTTCAACTGATGGTTGTAATCGACCAAGAAATGCTGAATGTGGAGCGACTCAAATTCGTCGTCGTATTCTACGAAAATTTAATGATTTATTTCAATTTTAGTGGTCAAAGTTTATCAAAAGACCACGAAGAAAACAAAACTGTCAAATTTAAACATATAATAAATGATAAGATAAGAGCGGCTTTGTATCACATTATTGAAAATTTATTTTAGAATAAAACCACAATAATTCGACGTTTCGATGATCTCTGTCATCATTTTCCAGATTTATTAAGATCCAAGGAAATTGTATATATAGCAAAGAAAAGAGCAACGAGGGAAATAAAAGAATCGATCAAAAACAAAAGAGAGAACGAAAAAACGAAAGATACAATAATAGAAAACTTAAAGTATCATTAAGGAGAAAGACTAGGTAACAGAACTCATGGGAAACCATCAGCAAAAACAAGTAATGCTACCGAATGTGCTGTTTTATTGACTTCTGTTTCGTAAGCCTTCATCAATAATGATTCTTCAATTAAAAAACAATAATGATGATTGTCTTGCTAAATTATCTGAAAATTACTCCAGTTCCTATGATTATCTGTTTCTTTTACATGTTGAGTAATTGATGACTTATCAACTTTGTTATCGTTGTTGCTCTTGTTATTGTTGTAGTTGTTGCTGTTGCCATTTTATTTTTTATCCGCTATAATCTTATTAAATCTGAAATATTGTTGTCGTTACCAAGATCACCGGTTACATGGTTACACTGCTGTTGTTGATAGATTATTTTGAATACACCCTGTTCATCAAATCTTCTTATCTACTGACGTTCTGTCTTACCAATGTACGAATGGGATGTGTGGGCGTGGGTATGTGGGTGTATGGGTATGAGAGTGTGGCTGTATATGCGGGTGTGGGGGCGGATGTGGGAGTGTGGCTGTGGCTGTGGCTGCGAGTGGGTATCGACGAGATTGTCGGGATGGGTGGGAGAGGTGCGAGGCGAAGAAGCAACCCACGCCTCACATCCAAACCCACATCAACAAGAGTTATACGATTAGAATTTGTCTTTTAAGACTCATTTGTTGGAACTGAAGACTTGGCATTTGGTAATGATGGCTAGAAACAA